GATGCGGCATAAGACTATTTATGTCATAATCAGCTAATTATTCCATATGCATTTGATGTTTCGGTTTTGGACGGAAACCAGCTAATTTTATATACATTCCTCAAATTGTCCATAATTTCATAGTATCGCTCAAATGTACGGCAATAATTTGCAAATTGCACAAAATCCATCCTCATCGAAGCGCTCCGATCACTTTCCAATTGAACCGTTTTGTTGTTTCAGCTTCAAATTGTAGTTGGAGTACAAAGCTGAGTCCCAAAATGGAGGTGGACAGTGTCGGGCAAATGGACCGTTCGCCCAATTTAAAGCGATCAAATAATTCAAATTACGAACACCAAACGAAGAAAATAAAAAACGAGCCTAAGGAGAAGATGTCGTCCGAGCTGTTGCATCAGCTGATATCGAATAATCATCAAAGAGGCAGGCCGAAAAGTAAAGGAAACTGGCTGTTGGATACGGGCGGAAAGGCCGCCTGTATATCACAGCCCAGTGATAGTGTCTTAATGAACCTTTTGGTAAGCGGATTTGATATCCGAGCTGGTTACATATGCCTTGCCCCAACCAAATCGAAACGATGAATCGCAACGAAACGCTTTTGTTTTGCACTACGTTCAAGTCAGGTTATTATTCCGGAATCTTATGAGCTTTAAACAATTTAGGATACGTTTGCTGATGGAAGGAGGAACAAACACCATGCGAATGTCAAGAGTGGACACTCTAGAAGTATCTCGTGTAACTTGTGATAATTGATAGAAACTGGCTTTTATCTATCTGTAAGCAATATAGTGCGACGCTTCATTGTAAAGTGATTAGAAGTGGGCGCCCATACACTCAGTCTACAGCGATCACTTTAGGTTTGCAATTATCGATACAAGTGTTCCAATGCCAAAGAAGTATTCAGAACAGTCCAGTGATCATCTGCGAGTCGTGTCTTGTGGTCGCCAACTGATTTTAGCTCAAAAAGTTCAGAGAAACTTCTACGTTTTCAATGTGAGACTAGAACATATCAATTGCGTTGAAGCGCTTTTGTAACACTTTTTATTTTTAAGCGAAAATTTATTTTTATACTTAACGGGTTTTCTGTGTGGCGTTTGATTTTTCGTTTTTGTTCGACGTTCAAGCGCTTTGTAGTTTATCGACTAAGAATGTTTAGTGTAGAATCGATCAACGCCCATTTGAATAGTTCTGCTAAGGGTCCACCTCAACCCTCTAGCCAGTAAGTTATGCACTTTGAATGTTTCTTACTTACTGGAAAAACTGCTATGGATGTGAAAGTTCCTTGTCGCTTATCGGTGATTTCTAGTCGTGTATTCGTTCCCTCCTCACTGCAGAGACTCAAAAGTACAATAGAGATCAGGGAGAGATTGAGATCCAATTACTGCCGTCGATTAACAAGCAAATAACTATAAAGCTGCGAAAAAGTGTGCAGTTCTAGAACTAGTTTGGACGCATGCTGGGTTACTAAAAGAGAATAGAAAGTCTATTTTTGGGACATCGAACAAGTGACCTAATAGTCACTGTTATATTTATCTGAGTTGCTAACGCACTAAATGAAAAGACTGTGATCAAAACCAACTAAAAAATATTTACATATATGCTCTCTATGTTTGTTTTTAACATTCCATTTTGGTCACAATAAAACAAAAAAGCGGTTTTCAAACCGCCGATGTGCATAGAAGCTAGGCTATAGTTAGAGATTAATAATTAATAAATTATTAATTAATAATTGATAAATCATACATTTTCGCGTATTATTCAAAAAACTTTAAAAACATATAAATATATTAACAACTAATTATTCATGTTGCCGTTAATTATTAGATTCTATGAACTAGTGTTAGTGCACATGTTATTCGGATTAACACTTTCAAAGCCCTTCTACATGTCTATTTAACTTTTAACTTAACTAAAATTTAATATTATGGATGTTGTGTTTCATACATCTATGCAAAGATCCTTTCCCGATAAATATTTTTATGCCCTGAGTGTTTGAAATGGGTTCTAATTCTTACTAGTCGAAATGGTCTTTGATAAGGCAATGTTAGGCCCTTGAGTGGTATACTGCTACTTAAGGGTCTAATAGTGCTCGATTTCTAAAAATATGTACATAGCTGGCGTCCCATAATAGTTAACTAGTTATAATTGTGAAATCGTTAAGTTCAAACGCATCAATCCTCTATATCGAATAGTCTCCCTTAAAGTGCCAGATACTAAGATCGAATTAAAGCTTCTCATTCTACCGATTGGTGATCGAAAAACATTCTAAAAAAAGTCAATGAAAAAGATGGATATTTTATTAAGTATATTGAAAATGTAGCTTTTATTACAACAGTTATTTTTTAAACAAATTGTAAAATGTGTGTACAAAACATCACAACATTCGTTATGAATATACTCTCTCGTATATTTTAGGAATTAATCCAGGTTTTGCTAGCAAATGAAGCAGAAGTATTTATTGTAGTAAGTTTGCGCAAAATTGCCTTCATTATTTTCGAGTAGTTCAGTCCAATGAGCCAAAGCTGCTACTAAATCAGGCTGAATAAAGATGGTTAACATTTTGTTTATTTGTTGAATAGTCGTTGTTATTTTATTACAGCAATAAAATAAAATATTAGTGATATTTGTAATCTTTTATAAAGGTTATATTTCTAGATTTATTGTGTGTATAATTTATTATACTGGCATATTTTTGCAATATGTCTGTTGTTGTCAATAAACCGAATTGAAAGTATAATTTTACTGTTTAATTTTTGTCCCAAAATGTGTGTTGGCTCTTGAACTAACGCAATTTTTTAATGAAAATTGGTCCCCAAGACTGTCCTTTATGCTTTGCGGAAATTGCATATATCTTCAGCCCAGTGGCTCATTTAGAAACACTTTACTTACGTGGTACGCACTTTGCTGGCTTTTTGTTATCATTTAACCAACATACATGGCAATATTTGGAATTCGCGTTGTAATGATTGATGAAAACCCTGCAGGCAAAGTGCGAACCACGCAAGTAAATTCTCACTGCAGAAAAAAATTCAGCCAAGACTGCTTTCATGCTTTTAGATCCTTCTCGATGTCAGTTTCTTTCTTGGAGGTTCTAAAAGTAACATTTACTAGTGATTTTCCCATTCTGATCGACTGTCTAATTTTTTATTGAACGATTCAAGAAAGGTAGTCCAAGACCTGCAGCTTTATTTTCCTCTATCCTGAAAAAAACGATSRTTCAGTACACTACTGGACCTACTAYTAAACCATGAAGGGAGTAAAGCTCGTGTCCCACGCTTCCTTTTGTACGATGATACGCTTGTACGAAAGTGTTTCTATTGGTTGGAGCTTTGTGATCAATTCGGCCGTCGTCGTACGAACTGACAGATCTCCAACCAATAGAAACACTTTCATACCATCGATGATACGAAAGTGTTTCTATTGGTTGGAGATCTGTGACCAATTCGGCCGTCGTCGTACAAACTGACAGATCTCCAACCAATAGAAACACTTTTGTATTATCGTATAAACGGAAGCATGGAACACGGGCTGAACTGCTCCCTTAAATACGTCTTTTATGGCAGCAAAGTAGACAGAAATTCAATCGATCCCGATTCTTCACTAATCGATATTCCTTTGCGCACCTCTGTAGTGTATTACAATCACAAAGCAAATAATTTGGTGTAAAAACATGTTTGGATCTTCTTCTAGCGCTCATACTTTTCATCACAGCCTACCATCAAGCGCATATTCTGTATTTTTCAAATATTTTATTTGTCATTATTCGCTGTTAATTCCACTGCTCGAATAGAGTTGGGCTGACGCGTTTATCAATTTCTCGCAAAAATAATCCTTATTATTAAATACATAACAGACGCACGTGTCCCACTAAACTACAATAAACTGCGTTCAAAACATTCAAAGTCAAACATATTTGGCAAATGAATGAAGCTTATGTAACGTTAATTAGGCGATGTTAACTATAGGCGCAAGGAATTATAAAATTCGCTGGCGGAAGAGCCGTGGCCTTGTTTTTGTTGACTTTTCCCCATTTTAATTGACTGATACGTTTAGTTTTAATAAGGAAAGTTGTTGGTTTTTAGCTAAATATGGCCGGGCGATTGTTAATTCACTCGCCGACTCTTAGTAAATTTGCGTATTTAATGTTTCCTCATCACTCCTGTGTAGCTTTAGCAAACTGTAATTACGATAGCGACTGTTTTAATTTAAGATATTAGGGCAGGCTTAAATTTATTTTCTGTGTTCCACCTGATTTTGGGCAAGGCACTTGTAATCAATTTTCGCTCGGTTTTCAAACATGGCATTAATAAAGAAATAAAACAGACCTGATTCTTGTAGGAAGCTGATAAGCCTCCAAAAGCGGCTGCAGAAGTGCTGCCCATCCAAACTCGTGTGAGCGCTAGGCGCGGCTTGATCAATGCGAATTTGCTGGGCAGGAAAAAGATGTTGCATCAAAAGCAGCAGGAAAAGTATCGAAAGCAGGTGCAGTCTAAAGGCAGTCTGATGCGGAAGAATTCGCTTGCCATGGTGGATCCCGAGTCCGTACCATCTCTGCTCGATCTAACCCAGCAGGACTTTGAGGTAAATTGCGGGAATGTTGATGATAAAACAGGCCATTTATTGGGTTTGTTTGTGTTGCAGCTGAATGCTCCTGTGGATTCTTCGCTGCTGCAAGGCGAAGAGCTGCTGATCGCTCTGGAAGTTGCGCAGAGCATTTAGCTGGAGGAGAACGCTATCGGGACCATCGCCGATAGTTTAAGCGTGGCAGCACCTGGAGAGTTTGAAATTCCGCTTATTGTTATTCGAGGAGACGTTGTTAGTGTACAAAATTGCAAAATTCCGCTCAGCACTTAGATTGGAGAAACAACGTTGATGGCACACTTTGTATTCAAAATCTTCAATCCTCTAATTTCCTATTGATTTACTGCTCATAACAGTGGTTTGAAGTCATTTGTGATTTTAGCTCTTCAAACCGGACTCTGTGAGGAAACTCGATTGTTTTATTTGATTTCACCCTGTGTACATTATCGGAAATATTGAAGTGTGCCCATATATATGAACATAGAACATATTTTTATATGGTATGGACTGCAGCGGCTGTCTTGTAGAGTGGGTATTAGTCATAGAAAGTAAACTAAGTAAAGTAGCTTTCCCTTATACAGTGCGATCATTCCACGGAATCAACTAAGAATACTGTTGTGTGCAGTTTGTCTTTTTCTGGGAGTCGGAAGCTATGCGCACTTACTAACGGATCACGTCAATAACCATTTACATAAATGAAGCCAAAGAGTTCAAGAAATAGACCAAAAAATCAGACGCTAATATATTTATACGGTTGAGACATTTTAATTTTTTCCATTTTCAATCGCTATCCGTACGATTAATCAGTTCTGAAGACAGCATTTGTTATTATTTTTTTGTTCTCAGAATTGGATTTGCTGCATTTTCGCATTAAGCTGATGCGAAACTTTTCTACCATCCGACAGCGTTTCTATTGATGAGTTTTAAGTATACATACGGTCGATGATCAGTTATTGCAGGTTTTTTATTGACCGGGTTTACTAGGCGAGTGAAACTGAAGCTTTGGGGCGATTCTTCGAAACTTTCTGCATCGGTAGGATGGAGTGTCTGCTAAAGTTGGTCAAAGTTTCAAGTTGCTGCTTGATTTAGTTTGAAACATGCAAATTTTTAAAAGCGAGAGCGCAATTGCGGAAACTTCCATTTTCAGACCGGTATTCACCAAGCAGGAAAAAATTAGAATTATGTGTGATTTTTATGAAACTTTCTACATCTGTAGAGTCGAGTGTCTTCTAAAGATGGTAAAAATTTCAAAGAATTATTTGCTTT